CAGTAATATAAAAGCTTTCATAAACATAAAATTATGTTCATTATTTGAAAGTAACATAATTTTGGTGGAAATATTTCTCTTTTTGTGTTTCACACTATCTATTTGTTGTTTGCTTGCCTTATTTTTATTACCACAAAGTTAATTATATTTTATTCATAATTACCTTAGTTAATTAGCGCGCCAGACTTAATTTTTTATTCCTTTTCATTCCCAGTCGAACATAGGTCTTCAAGCTAGAGCTTTGAAGTTTAGATAGCAGTGGTGTTTAGTTTTACGGGGTGGCGTTGCTAGCCCTCCCTTTTTTCCGGTATTATTACTGGCCTAGTGAGGTAAAGGAGTGCATCAGTGGCCGAAGATCGAACCCCAGACCATTTGCGTGGTTAGAGAGCGTTCCAGACTTAATTACGTACTGCTTTTGACAAACAAACACACATGTTGAACAATAAATGCAATGTATTCTAGTTTTGGTTTGTAAGAATTTGATTGGTTACAGGATTTCATCATGAGCTGACATTAGTTGGAGAACCATTGGAAAACCTGGGAGTACTGGACAGTTGGTCAGATGTGAGGACAAATACTCGCCAAAGACATCGCCTAGCGGTCGCGCTATGTCGTGAATTGGTGGAACTTAGAATTCATGGGCTGGCCATTGGATCTAGCCCAGTAGCTTAATGGTCTAAGAGCTCGCTAGCCTTTTAACCAGAAGGTCCTGGATTCAGACCCTGGTGGTGGGTGCGTACTGCTGAAGATTCCCAAACTAGGTCGGAGGAAAAAGCTGTCCAGCACTCCTTGCAGGTTTTCCAATGGTTCTCTAACTAATGTCAGCTCATGATGAAATCCTGAAAGCAATGTATATTATTAGTTAATGGATATTTTTATGTTGTAAAGTAAGTTACATTTTCTTTGTAGCTTGATATTTCTTCCTCATATTTTTTACAAACTTTGCAACAGCATCCCTGTTTTAATGTAACACGTAAAAGTGTGTAAAATGATGGTGAATAGCCTATTGACAGATTAAATTGTGTTTACCGTACGGAAAAATGAGGTGGAATGTTCTACGGATGGTTATTATTATTCCCTTCAGTTCCAAGTGGAATTTAAGGCTTCAGCTAGCTCTACTTTTACCTAAAACCTTTAGTTTCTTCCTTACACGGTCTCCTCCATGTCACTGACCGACCACCACTCAACTCATTGTTTCCATGCTTTGCATCTGATGTCATTCAGCGGTCTCAGCAATGTGTTGGATCCGTCACTTACCTTGTCTTCCCACTCTTAAATCTTTTGCAACAAAATCCCATTTCATCTAATGTTGCTTGTGGAGGAAGACTCTGTTTTGGTATCTCTACCACGTGTTCTAGTCATCTCAGCCAACGCAAGTGCACAACCTCACCGACTGGCTTTCCCCTAACCTAACAAGTAATTCCAAGCCACAATATCCTACACTATGTTACATCATCAAAACAGGTGGAGGTCGTTATCGCGCCCAGTTTGCTTACGTCTCCTGCACATAGCTGAATCTGTTGCAATAAAATAGACTAAACCGGAACTTTTTATCCAAAAACGAACACGTCCTGACAGTGATGTAAAAACTCGAAAACATAATTCTACCAAAGATCAAACCCAAGATTTGGATACGCTACGTCGACGACACATTAGTAATAATCAAAACAAACGAGTTAGATAAAACTCACAACTTAATAAACAACGTCTTCAACGACATCAAATTCACAAGAGAAGAGGAATCCAAGAATCAATTCCCATTTTTGGATGTCTTAGTCAGGCGAACAACCACAGAGGAATTAGAAACTCAGGTTTATAGAAAATCAACTCACACAGACTAAATCCTGAATTACAACAGCAACAAACCAAATAATACACAAGAGGAATTGCATACAAACACTATTCAAGAGGGCTAGCCAGGACTCATTGCAGCACTCCCACCTTAAGGAGAATTGAAGAGAAGTATCTCATGGACGTCTTCCAAAAGAATGGATATTCATGGAATTTCATCAAGAGACATATACCCCCAAGCCAACCTATTAAACCAAAAGCCCCCAAGGAAAGCACAAAGAAAATCGCCTTACCCTATATATATATATAAAGGATATCTCAGAAATCACTACAAGACTCTTCAAACCTTTAGGAATTGACGTCGTACACAAACCAACAAAGTCGCTCCACCTAATTCTATGTCAACCGAAGACTCAACAGCGAAAGAAAATAAAACCAACATCATCTACAAAATAAATTGTAACAACTGTGAAAATCACTACATTGGTCAAAGTGGACGTCCCCTTCGTCTTCGTATCCACGAACATAAGCTAGCCGTGAAAAGACATCATATCCACTCTCTCATATCACCACATACAGACAACCACGGACATCAATTCGACTGGGACGAACAACGTTCAAATATTAGACAGAGGAAGCAACAAGAATGCTATCATCAATCAGTAGACACATCGAGATAGACAAAATTTATCAACCGATAAGAAGGAAACCTCACACACACAAAAAGGATCAAAGTTCAAGTCGAAGAAACAATCAGTTCCAATACAAATAACCTAGAAGGTGTGAAAACACACAAAAACAACCAATCACGTCCAAGGTCACCAGGAGAGATGAATAATAAACTCGTGGAGAAATCTAAAATGTTCACTTCAAAATGAAGTATGCGCTGAAGATGTCGCCTAGTAGAGCGATGAAAGCTTCGCAAATTAACCATCCAGCTCAGATAACACAACAACATCAAAATCATCCACCTGAGCTACAAATCTTCTCTATCATATCCAAGTTCACTTATGCCTACAAATAAATTTCCGGCTATTTAGGGTCGAATACAAAATATTTTTGAATAAAACGAAACTAGATGTTGTTTCCATTTCACAGGATGATGATTAAAGTTCAGATAGGTGTTTTTTGCAGCATATTTCCAATCAGTTGCTTATGTGTCACCAGACAGACAACCTTTGGTTGTGTGTTAATAGAAATTTCTACTTTCCTCTATAAATTTAGTACACTCGTTAATATTCAGGTCTCAGTGTAACAGAGAAAATATCTTAAAATATAAATGTTAGAGAGTAATATGTCACACAAATAACTTGTCAGTAGTCAGTAAAACGGCCAGGTATGTCTGACTTCCATAGTATTGAAATTCGAGGGGAAAATATACAGACAAACTGAGGGAGTTGCCATGGGAACACCAATATCCCCAGTTGTAGAAGATATATTCATGGATAGATGGGAAAACATAGCGATTAAAACGTTCACCTCACCCCAGAAGCATGCTGGAGGTATGTAGATGACACATTCACTGTACTTAGAACACAAGATATAGATAGATTTTTCGAACACATTAACTCAAAGGTGGAGGCAATTCGAATCACTTTTGAATTGGAAAGTCAGGAAAGGGAGCTTCCAATGTTAGATTGCAACGTAAAACGGGAAGAAGATGGGAAGTTAAAGACACTAGTATGCTTACAGGAAACCCAAACATTCAAACATATATTTGGACTTCCGATAATCCTATCTTATGTCAGTGAAAATAGGATTGCTGAAATGTTTAAGTGACAGAGCACAAAAACTAAGTTGTACCAAGGAAAATCTAAGAGAGGAAGTGAGGCATATAAGAGAAGTTTTGAAACTTAATAATTATCCTGATAAATTGATCAGGGATTATGTAGGAAAATGTAAAGAAAAAATTAATAATAATAGTAGTAATAATAATAGAAATATTAGTGACGACATGCATGTCAAATATGCGCGAGACAACACCAACAATAAAGACTTTAAATTAACAGTAGTAATTCCAAACAAGGAAAGAACCTCCGAAACTTTTTGCAGAATTCTTAACAAGGCAGGAATGAAAGTGGTTGGCATTCAAACCAACCACAAACTCAATTAGAAATAAGCTTTGTCGGTTAAACGATCAATCCTGTGGAGCCTTTAAAACAAAACAAGTTAGTTTATCTGATACCCTGCTTGCAATGGTTGTCAGGTCAAAAACATAGGTGAAAGTAGTAGAACAGGGGCAGTCAGGCTAGCCGAGTATAAAAACCCAGCTAAATCTAGATTAGTTGACCCGAATAAGATAAGAAACCTAGAGAATAGTTCAGCTATAGCTCTCACCAGATACAATTACATACAACCATAAAATAAGATGTGCGTCGGTGGTATAGCGGTTAGGACGCTCGCCGACCATGCATATGGTCCGGGGTTCGAACCCCGGCCGGCGCACTCCTTTACCTCACTGGGCCAGAAATAATGCTGGTAAAGAGGAAAGGTTGGGCATGAGGCTAGCAACCCCATCCCGTAAAAATTAAACGCTGCTACAGAAACTTCAAGCCACTAGCTTGGAGCCCTATGTTCCACTGGGAACGTGAAGGAAAAATTATTATTATTAATTATTATAAAATAAGATGATGGGATAAGATGACAGTTTTGAAGTCTTATGTCACAGGGTGGAGGGAGAGATTGATAACGGGAACTTTATTTATCAAATCAACTGCAAATACGTGTAATAGGAATGATTCAACATCTCTCCACCAAGACATCTGGAAAATTCTACAAACCCAACAATGACAGATAGCAGAGAACAAAGAACACTATAAAACTCAAGTTTCAAAGTCGTGTGATTATAATTGATGAAATAATTATGAACCGCAATAAATTTTTGTTCGAAACAATGTCATCCAGTAAATAATACTGTTCCACTAACTGTGTGATACATCTAATAAGCAAACTAATATGGAATTACTTACCACCACAGTGCCCAAGTTCTACACATATACTTCCATCTATAACTGCAGTGTTCTCAAGTATAGATATTTTCGAATCACATAAAAAGTCAAATAACCAGAAAACGTTTATCGTTTTGATTACTTCATTTAACTGTGTTACCAAAAACAGTAAATTGTCGTGTCTAGATGAAATAATAAAACCTGTCTGGATTTAATTCTACAGTTAAAAATTCTTTCTTTATTCTACTCAATGGAACTTACTTCGGTATTCTCACTAAATCATAAAAGAATCTTTCAGCAGGATCCATATAATTTATATTGCCTTGAAAGCTTTTAAAAGTTTTTATTTCTTCATCTGTTGGCAATAATTTGATTAAATCTCTCAGCCTTTCTGAACCGATTAAACTACCGTCACACTGATCGATTAGATCTAGTAAATTGATATGACTGTTCCGGAATTGACGTAGAAATATGTTTACATTTAGACATCTTTGACTTTCCAGTAAATTTGCCTGTAATTACAATGGGAGACAGGTGTGTGAGAATAAATAAATAATCATGTAATTGTTTGGACGAATGATTTATATACAATCATAAGGTTCAAGGTTACTGTAATTTTACTGTTAAATAGCTAGAAGAAATAACACATTGAAATGAGCTTATTTAATTCAATTTGAAATTTCCTGTTTATTGATCGGAGTGAAGTGTTCTACATAAGATTGACATGCTAACCTCTTGTGCAGATGCTTCGATGATACCTGATTATCAAACTTGAAGTAAATTTGTGGATAGTGACTAGCAGTGGAATCCAGGATGTGCATTTCGTCTGCATTCCCCAATGAGTGATGGTGTTCCCACTGGGGCTTGAATCCTTTACCCATCGTTTCAAACCCTAAATCGCTATTCACTAGACTATTTGGGCCATGAGAGTCAATGATTATACAACGAGTATCACTAGTTATTTAATTCATTTTGGATCTGGAGCCGAACACTTCCATCCAGTCAGACTAAATAATAATTGAGAACTGTTGCGTAATAGGTGGCTGTCGTAACCCAAGTGGTCAAGTGGGTAACGCTTCGGTGTTTGATACGATGGGTACTGAGTTCTAGCCTCAAATCTAGCCACCATCACTCACTGGGGAATGCAGACACATCCAGATGGTAAGTGCCAAATAAGAAGAAATGCGCATTCTGGATTCAAATGCTTGTCACTGTCCACCAATTAACTTCAAATCAATTGAAATGTTTACAAAGAACACTCATGAATTTTGAGATATTCTGTATATTTTACATAAATTTCTGGACTCTACATTGTCTCACTGATTTCATCTAAAAAAAGAAACAAAGGGTTACAAACTTATAGTTTCGTTAACTGGTCTTTTTAATGTTGTTTAAATCACGTTCGGACATTTTATTGATTAATGGGGTATTTATCGATAACGCATTCATCACTGAGTATTATACTGTTGTCTCCAAATTGAAAATGAGTTTTTTACTCATAAAACCAAATGTTCATCATCATGCATTTATTCCCCTTAATGAATTTGAATAAAGCAAGAACAACAGTGGTGGTTTGTGCAGAATAATATGGTACCATCATTTATTTCGTTGGCTTCTCATCAGCTGCTGCTCACAGCCTAAATAAATTTTGAGGTTTACTTACAGAAAAGTTTAAACATACTTGCAAATTTTACATGTTGTCAGTTGACAGAAAGTTCCACAATTGGTGAACAGTGCTCAGAAAATTGCGCTTATATAGTTTTTACACAGGTAATTCAAGTTTAAACAAAATAAATGTATGCATATAATGGTAAAGGAGTTACGTAATAAAGATGAAATATGAGTTAGATGCAGGGTGACTAATAAATTAAGTAACAATGTACTGAGTTGCACTCAAATCATAGAAACAAGAGACAAGCGAAATTGCAGATTATAAAAGGAGGGTGAGGTTAAAGACAAAGATTACGTAATCAGATGAGAGAATAAAGACATTGAGAGTCAGAGTTCAAACACCTACTGCTAATGTGTACCATGGGTGTACAATTCCAGTTTGACAACACTCTTTGCCGAAAAATAGATGGTGTAACCATGGGCAGTCCACTTAGCCCTGTTTTATTAGATATCTTCATGTCAAACCTTGAGAAAACAAAGTTGAAGCATGCAATCGACGAAACAACTTCCTACTGTCGATATGTCGATGACACATTTGTAGTATGCAACAACGAAAGTCATGCCTCCTACCTACTCAGACTATTCAACAACGCACATACAAATATTGTATTTACTATGGAACATGAAAATGATGGAAAGTTCCATTTCCTTGACATCGCCATATAATACCTAGAAGATGGTAATCTCCAGAAGTCAATTTGCCGAAGGCCTACATGGAATGGACAATACTTACATTTTAATAGTTTTTGTCCAAATAGTTATAAATGTGCACTAGTCAAGACTCTCTACCATAGAGCAAGGAGAATATACTCTGCAGAGAAACCAGAGGAAGAATTTACGATTCACAAAAAGGTGCTGAAATACAACGGTTATCCTCAAAGATTCATTAACAAATATGGAAGATGTGAAGGCTAAAATACCAAACAAATCACTGTTGAAAAAAAGCCTGTCTTCATTCAACTAGATTTTAAAGATGAAAACATTGCAGAAATGGTCAACAGAAGACTGAGAACGTCACCAGCCAGAGCCTATCCTGCAGCCAGCTAAGTTGGTTCGCGTCCATTGAACAACATGCACTTTGGTGCAGTCAAAAGTCGATAGATACCTTTCTCATGTTAACTCCAACTGTGTATACAAATTTACGTTTATCTGAAGGAGCAGTTACATTGGAAGAACAGAAAGAAGGGCACACCTCCGATTTTCTGATCATGTGCCAAAAAGCCTACGTCTCAAGGGAACAAACTCTTATAGTTTAGCGCTATTACCATACATCTCCTCGACACGGGTCATGAGGTGGAAATCGAGAAATCCTTCAAAATTATCAATAGACAAAGGAGCTTGATTCTCCTGAAGTTTGACGAAGCAATTTCCATCAAACGCTTGAAACAAGACTTATGTGTTCAGAAAGAAGCAGTTATTAGTCTTTCCTTGCCCTGCCTGGTAACTGGATGTTTTTGTTCTCGCATCTGATTACGTAATCTTGCACAATGAATATCCACTTATTTAATAAGGAACTATATAGACAAATCGATGGTGTGGCTATGGGGCCACCACTAGAACCCATTCTAGCCGACATTTTCCTTGCGAAACTAGAAAATGGGCCTTTGAAAGATGTTACTGATGGATGAACTTGAATTCTATTGTCGGTACATGGACGACACATTTTTGATTATGAAAAATGAGGATGAAGCAAAGAAAATCCTGGATAAATTTAACGAGGTTCATCCTGCAATAAACTTTACCACTGAGAAAGAAAAAGACTCTAGTATTGCATTTCTGGATGTCATTATAACCAGAAAGAGGGTGACACAATAAGAAGAAGTGTCTATAGAAAAACTGCATTAACTGACCGTCAGTGTACTCATTCTTTTCAACTTCGGGCCCTTGAAATACAAACGCAATGGTTCACAGAGCTAAAACAATCTGCTCGGATGAATGTCTTGATGAGGAACTTCATAATATTAAACGGTTGCTGGGTGAAAACGGTTATCCAGAAAAGTTTATTGATAAGAATATGAATCTAAAATCAAAGCAGCCTAAGGTACCAACAGTTCCCAAAAAGCCTAATTCTTTCAGATGCAGTTCGTCGGGGACAACATCAGAGAGATACTAACACAAGGCCCTATAAATTGGGTAAAAAGAGCATTCAGTGCTGCTCAATTACGCTGTGTCTTCAAAACCACTCCCCTATTGCGTTCAGGAGTAAAAGACAAAGTGCCTAATTTCGCCTCTTCCATGCGTATTAACCAGTTTAACTGCTTCTGTGGAGCCAGTTACATAGGCCGTACAATTAGACGTGTTTCTCGTCGGATTTCGATCACCTTGAGTGGTTAAGTAAAGGAGAAATAAAATCTATTCGTAGCGCTATTCTATCTCATCTTGTGGATACAGAACACAAGATTGGTGTTAACGACACTTTCAAAGTCACTTACCGCATACCAACAAATCTTAATTTCGCTCTGAGAGTTCGTTTACTAAATATTGCTGAGGCTGGTGGGTGGAATCCACATTAAGAAGCCTAATTTATGTGTCCAAAAGAAGCTAGTCCAGATATTGTCCTTACCTTAGCCACCTAGGTTCGAATGATCCTCAATTTTTTGTATAAATTTCCTTAATTTTAACTGGTATTCTATTTGCTATTATATTTTTATTATTATTATTATTTGAGCATCCATAATGATTATATATTCATCTCACTTTACAAATCAATATTAATAAAAAAAACACTAATATTGTTATTGACTACCATTCTAGAATATTCAGTGTATATAATCACATATACATAATTGTAGAGGCAGAACAGGAAATTATCCAAAAGGATATTTTTTCGCTCAATTATTTTGTGTCATATTAACTAGTAAACCAAAAGGGATTAGGGAATGTATCTACCGGGAATCGAACTCCGAACCACTTGAGTGGATGGCAAGTATTCTACCTGTGAATCACGGACGCAGCAGATCTCTTTCATCATCAAACAGTTAATGATATAATTACTACTAAATACATCTTGTTCATTCAAAATCAATTGTTATCTTGATTTTTATTTGTCACACCACTAGTTTAATGGACGAAATTGTATTTCCTAGAAATGGAAATATAAGTTTCAAAATTGCCATCTCCTACGATCAGACATCGATTACAGTTATAACTCAGTGAAGTCAAATATTTCAGTTAAATTGTAGTCCCACTGCTTTAAAAATTTCTTTTAAAAAAGATTCAGCGTTTATGTAAGCAATGTTAGCAATTACCTCATAATGTTTTTGAACAAATTCCATCGTACGAGAGGATGAAAGTGATCTTCCACGTGTAGGATATGCAGAAGTGACATCAAGTCGTTTTGGGTTATTGATTTGAAATACTGTCAACTTTTTATCCTGTACAATAATATCATTGTCCCTGGCCATATGACAATACGAGCTAATATTATTGTTACTGCTTTCATCTATTTGTGTACATTTTCGTGAAGATATCTCATCAATTAGGGATATTTTCACTTCTGGACTTTTTACAGTCTGTTTTTGTTGTTGAACAAATAAGACATTCAGTTTAGCTAGATTAATGAAATTGTTTGCCTGTTTTGACATTGTCGATCGATGATTAGTACCCGTTTGAAGCAAGCTAGTCTTGTTCCATACACTTATCTGCTCAGATGCAGAAACTTTAATCCATCGTAATGGTTTCAACTTTTGCCTATCACTCTCACTACCCCATGTGTTATTTACCGTTTGATTGGTAGAAAGGGGGACACTGTTGCCCGCTTGTTGGTTTTTAGATAAAAAATTATTCGATGTAGCTATTACCGGCGATGCTGAAGAAGTAATCAGTGGTGGTGGCAATGGGGGTGGAGGTGGAGGATGTGGGAGTAGCAATGGAGGGGGAGGAGGTGGCGTACAACCTGGTGCAAAAGACATAGAACTTGATGTATCACTTTTCTTTGAAATGACTAATTCTTCTTCTTTTTCATCCACAGTGTTTGATTCAAATTTGCATTTATGACTGCTATCAGTTTTCGACATGAAAGTACTCGACGATAATGCAGGAGGATTAACTTCAACACTACCACTGGATTCCTGTGAAGCGTTTTGGGATAAAATTATAGTTTTATTACTTTCATCGGTAAATTGTTCACTTTTTATTGATTTATTTGTTAATTCATTATCAGAGCAGAGAGATTCAAAGTCACTGGTTGATGTACTTCCGTGCATTTCATGAATATTTTTATTACACATCAGAGGTGTAGATTTATTAGCATTATTACTATTGTTATTATTATTGTTTATTACAGGGAGACTAGCACCAAAGCAATGATAGTAAGGATTATGTAGTATATATGAAACATTTAACAAATAATAATTATTATTATTAATGATGATATTTGACATTTCTGGAAAGCTTTGACTTTTGTGAATTGATTTTGTGCTCAGCGTTTCATTAGGGAGAAAATTATCTTGTTGCAATGGTGTTCCAGTAGAACATATGAGTAAATGACACTTTTCAATTATTTGTTTCCATATAATGATAATATGTTTTGAATTATACAACTTTAATGTATTTGCATGTGAACTCTTCATGTTGACGCTATTCGGTTTTATTAGAAGCAGGGATTTAATTAAATGTTGTAGAATTATTAAAAAATAATTTTCAAGTATGTGATTTTGATTCAGCTGAAAAGGGATCAAAGTTATGAACAGGTTAGTACATCATCACTAAATGACTAAGAAAAATATTAGTGGTAGTAGTTTAAGCGATAGATAGACAATACTGAAGTGTTGATTTAAGGTGTCAAGAATCAATCTACTAGTGTTGTATAATTTAAGCTACCTTTGTGGCGTGTGCTACTGATAAGATTTATCAGTAGTATATAAGAATGTGGTGAGAGCAAGCTGCTAGTTAATTGGTAGACATTAATTTACCTCAATGTCTAGGTCACTATTATTGGCCGTGAGAAAATATGAACAAGGCTGATTCAAAAACCAATCACAGCAGACTTAACGTGGGCAAATAAGATTCGTAAATATATGGCTTAACTTTCCGAGAAACCAGAAACAACCAATCAGAAGACTGTGTTTGTCTACTTGAATAAGCTATAAAAATGTACATGAAATGTATATAAATACGTGCTGATTTCCGTAATAAAACGATCTGTTGCCGGCCCTTGTCTTCTGTTGTTACAAGAAGACGTCCATCGGCATACAAACATCAAATAGCAGGGAAATATATTGAACGTTAGAGAAAGCAAATGATACAGCGTTGCAGAGATATTTGGGAGACGTGAAAGGAACACGAAGAACAAAAGTATGAAGGCCAGAAGTAGCCCAACGCGGGAGATCTATGCAAATGGTGTGTCGAAGATAAGGTGTACATAATTTGACTATATAGAGATACTCGTTGACCATATCTATCGTCTTTAACCATTGCATCTTCGTATTCATACGAAATACCTTCGTATTTAAGGGAGAACTGTGTTTCTTCGGATTTTCAAATGTACTCTGTATAAACAACCATATCATTTTTGGTGCCCTGTAGAAAGGATTTATGCGGTTGCATTTATTCTTTGTTTGTTTTTGTTTTTATTCGTTTGCGTTCCTAGTGGAACATAGGGCGGCTTCAAGCTAGAGGCTTGAAATTTCGGTAGCAGTGGTGTTTAATTTTTACAGGATGAGATTGCTAGCTGCATGCTCAACCTTCCCTCTTTACCAAACTTATTACTAGCTTATCGAGGTAAAGGAGTGCGTCAGCCGGGGGTTGAACCCCGCACTATATGCGTGATCGGCGAGCACTCTACCACTGTGCCACCGACGTACATTCTTTGGTAGGTATTACTAATAAAAGTTTGGTGAGTTAGAAATGTTTTAAAGTGTTGTTGATTGACACTTATCGTAGTTTATGGATCAAAATTTCACATCATAGACATTCATAAAACTAGGAGAGATGAAGGAACGATTTCGTAAGCAGACACAGAGTAGACAATATCTCCATTTCGCCAATTTCGTTCCTATCCAATATAAACGTGCCGTACTAAAATGCTCATTTTCAAGGGCCCGCAAAATATGCACGAGCAACACATTGATGGATGAGCTTTGACACATTCATTCAATTTTATTAGCTAATGGTTATCGAGAAAATTTTATCAGTTGACACACTAAGAACAGACCACATCTTGAAAAGACAGCTTCTGTATCAAAAAAAGCTTTCTTTATTAACCTACCATTCAGGGGTGATCAAATTATGCAACTGACAGCTCAAAGACTTCAGTCAGCCATCGATAGCACATTCTACGCCGTATCTCTTTCCCTCATGTCTCAAACCTTTTTTATCCCAGTGCCTATGACTAAAGGACGAAATTCCGTGGACTCTGCTTCAAACTCTATCTACAAGTCCACCTGCAGTCGCGGTGACAGCTATACGGGTAGGACCAACAGAATGTTCCGATGTCGTCGAAACTAACATGTTCCAAAATAGTTATTAAAACATATAGAAAATCCCAATGCAATTAATCTGAATAGAAATCCATCATCATCCATTGCAAAGCACTTATTACTCTCAGGTCAAAAAATTATTTTACATAACTCTAATTCAAGAGTGGTTATTAAAGGTGATGGAAGCACTTTGGGGATTACTCATATACATCCTAAACTATGTGTACAAAAAACAACAATAGACTTCAACCTTCATCTACCATGAACTGACTACTTGACCTATTTATCAAATTCTGTTTACTATTTGAATAGTAATAGTTAACTAAAATGAAAGATTATTTAAACTGAAACAGCTTTTCATGCTTTGATGATGTCCAGTGATTATTTGGTTAATGATGAAAATTAGACTCAAGGCTTCAAGCTTTTCAAATTCTTGGTAACGGTAGGATTTTCACTGGATGCAGTTGCTGATGGTACTTTCAACCTCCATTCTTTTCTGAGCTTACTACCAGCTAGTAAACTTGGGGAAGTTTAGCAGTCAGTCGGCTGGAAATCGAGCCTGGACCTCTCGCAGGGCTGGGAGGAGCACTATACTGTTGAACTTAGTAATACCACCACTTTAATCACTGGTGTACCGCATACACAATCCGTTTTCCTTCCTTCTAGAACTGTTTTTATCTTCTAGATTACCACCGTAATAAAGAACTTACTAATCGTATTACATCTTAGAGACAGGTTATTCGATAATTAGTCAGTAAACAAAATAACTCATAGTTTCCAACTAAATATTAACTGACCCAATAAAATCGCATACATCAGTTTTTTATTCTGTCAGTACATCCTAAAGGTAAGATATTAGTTGACATCAAGGTAAAGGTCATGTTAATCCCAGATTTTCACGATATTATACTTTATACATACGAATACCTTAAATGTTGACGATATCAGTTAATTTTTTTCGCCCTTGAGTGCAACAAACAAATCAATTACTTGGTACAAAACTAAAAAGTACTAAAAGTACTTTACGTGTTTCAATGAACATTTTAAAGGCGTAAACCATGTCAGATATGTATTCTCATATTTTAATGCACATGTGATCTAATGAATTGTTTTTGAAAATAATTTTCTGGGTTCCATGAAAAATTCTGAGAAAAGAATTTAAAAATACTCTCACTATTTGTTCTGTAATAATATAAGAATCTGATCAAAGTAATTTTTGAGGATATACTTTCATTTTATCATGGATTTTTACCACTCCTAAACTATTTAACAACTCCAATCAAATCCCTGCAAACCAACACTTGAAAAATCGATCTGATGCTCACTAGCGACTGGCTCTATTCGGGTAGGCAGTTACATGAGTTCTAGTGAGAAGCCTTGACCAGTAAGGTATAGCAGGCTGGGTGTGAGGACAAATACTCACCGAAGACATTGGCCATCGGTCGCACTATGTTGTGAATCGGCAGATGTTGGAATTCATGGACTGGTCATTGGGTTGGGTTCCAGTGGCTTAATGGTCTACGTGTTCACTTTGCAACCAGAAGGTCCTGGGTTCGAGTCCCGTTGTGTGCACACTGATGAGGAGTCCCGAACTAGGGAGAAGCAGCTGTCCAGTACTCCCTACAGGTTTCCCAATGGTCCTCTGATTGATATCACCAATCAAACAAAAAACTACTTACAAAACCAATACCAGAAAACTTTGATTTCCCGAAACTGTAAGTACATAAAATCTGTGATCTGGATATCAGTCTCCAGTTCATTAGCGGCTACTGGATGGATATCCTCAAGTTATTATGAGAATTCGAGACTGGTGATGTCCACCATACTCACAAATGGCCAAAAAGCCAGACTCCTAATCTGAGGGTCCTGGATTCGATTTCCTGTTGGATCATGGGCATGTACTGCTGAAGAGTCCCAAACTAAGATGAAACAACCGTTCTGTGCGTCCGGCTTTGCAATGATTCTCTGAATAATATTGATTCGTAACGAAATCTACGTTGAAATTAATCGGAATCGCCACAAAACCCATAGTCTGAAATTCATCAGTTTTGAAAATCGCAGAATTTATTATGATGGTACAAGTTAGATAATAAATTAAAGATACCTAATGTAATTAATCTGTTTAAGCTTTAATACGTAAATAGAACAAGAAGAAAAGTAATAAAGGTATGAAGAATGATAATTATGAGATAACGGAGATTTTTTGCTCAGTTAAATGTTTTTGGCATGGTTGCATTCTATGAGTCGGGTGATTCAACTAAGAAACTTTCATTGTCTCTCCAGACAGCATCGCCAGAACTTACTTCAGAATGAATTGGGTTTTTGTCACACTGAAGTAAGCAGTGAAGGTACTGTCTAGAAAGGAAATAAAACCTTCAGAATCAAACCGCCTGGTTCAGAGAACACAATAATATCAAATAGAATGATACTTTTGCAAGTTGTCGTCAGTGTAACTGCAGAACTTGGTCACTGTGGTAGAATGTAATTCCATATTAGATAAGTTTATTTTGAATATCACACAGTGATGCTGTATTAATAACTGAATGACATTTTGAGCATAAATTATTGCTCATAATCATATCAGTTTTAGTCACATGGTTTCATAGTTTGTCTTATATATAATTTACCTCTTCCTCTTGTTGTTTGTCGCCACTCTCCATATCTCCGATATAGGCGTTGCATTATTCTGATTGCACGTGTGCGGTGTTGAATCGATAAATAAAGCTTCAGTGATTAGCCTCTACCTACCTCTACCTCTCTACCTAACTATATTACTTTTTAATACTCTCACCCTCTCTCACCATATAGCTGTGTGATTGCATGCAAGCGAGTGCAATCCAATGACTGAGCGTTTTTCTAGGTTACTTAACTTAGCAGGGTCAATTATTCTAGACGTAGCTAAATTTTTATTTTCCAATAAGTTAATTGACCCTGATCTACTAGTTTGGCCTATATAGTTGACTTCACAGTCACTATATGGTATTTAGTAAATTATATTAGTTTTCTCAATTGAATCTATTGGGCCCTCAAGCCGACAAAGTTTATCTCTGAGAGAGCTGGTTGGTTTAAATGTGCCACCCTAATCCCAGAGTCATTGAGAATCCTACATAAGGCCAATGAAGTTTCATCTTTATACGGCAGTACTACAGAGGCTCTGAATTCTATATTATTTTGTCATTTTCGTTACTGTTCTTATTTTTTCTATGGTTTTGCATACATTTGTGAACAAATTCTGGTGGGTAGTTATTCATCATTTAAATCTTCTGGCTTACTAGTTGGGCTCCTGGCCCGATTATATAGACATTTAACTAAACCTATCTTTATGGATTCTGGATGGTATGAATTGAAGTCTAAGTATTTATTAGAGCTTGTCGGTTTCCTATAAATTTTATTTTCTAACCCACTACCTTGTTTTCGTCTTATTCTACAGTCTAAGATGGCCAATTCACTCTATTCATATTCCAACTCAGAAGTGCATAGGATTCTGACTTACCATTGTCTTATAATACATAATAAAAAGGATTAAGACATCGAAAGATCACTGTGTTTTAAGATCATTGTCAAAAATAAAATAATAAGGTCTCCATTCACTTAACGTTTATGGACTTAGAAGTTTGTTCATGAAACAAGATCACAATGATTAATGGAGTAAAACAGCTGACCGACTGCCTATCTCAGAATATCGAAAATATCCTAAATTATTTAAGTCGATCTTGAAATAAAAGTATGCGTGGAAACTTCCTCGCAATCTTAGCATTTTAAGTGGACATTGGCATGTCCAACCTCCCCTCTTTTCCTTCCGTACTACCAGCAGGAAAACTATGCGAGGTTAAGGAGCTCAGCCGCTGGGAGTTGACGACACCTACCTCTCACGTGGCTGATGAACGTTCTAGTGTTCAGCCACCGCCTAGAATTACCACTCTGAATCCGTTCTTAGACTCCTTAACATTAGAAGTGTAACTGATTTCTTATGCTCATTTACTCCTAACTCTTCTTTTGTTACTGAAAGGCTTGAAAGACCTTAAGCTCCGACTGTTATTCATACTCATAAGACAAAAAACGGCTGTGATAAATAGATAGTTTGATGTTATTTGTAGCATTTATTGACTGCTAAGCTTTGATATCACTGTGAACATCTATACTTTGAATACAGATGAGCCGATCTGACAACTCTTCAGTACCTTGCAGTAAACCATATTATTAATTGTGTTGCTATTACAAATATAATCACAGTTAACACTATTTGATTATTACATGTACAGTTGAATTAAAACAACAAACATTCTGTTTAAACAACTGCAACAACAACAACAACAACAACAACGCAACTTACCTGTTTCCGTAGTTTGTTATACAACTGATCAATTTCATCTAAATTTTTAACGCAGCATGGTTTATTATTATTTACAGTAAATTCTGTTTTTACTTGACAGGTGGTCTGTTTCTGTCTTTGATAATTCTTATCAACAGATCCTTCCATTGATAAACTAGGAAAGATTGATGGTAGGCGTTGTTTTGATGTTATATCCAATAGCTTTGTATTCTCATCACTACTGTCTACCAATAACCATAGTTTTGAATTTTCTTTAGCTATTTTTGCATTATTATTATTATTATTATTATTATTATTATTAATATTATTATGGATAATAGTATTTTCTGTTTTCATTGTTTTCTCTTTAATAACACCTTGAATTGAATTGAACTGATATGATAAGAAAGATGAAGCATCATTCTTATCCTCCAGTGGATAATTCTCTTCTGTGGAAAACCAACTCATGATATTGATTTAATAATCAAGCTGCTTTAAAGTCTTCAATCGATTTCAGAGGGTCAATCTTTTCCGCAGATGTTTCAATGCGATATTCTCTTCTTTTTGTAATCCCATAAACTAGACGTCAAATGTATGCAGATTTAAAGGTGTTGAATGCGGTACTTTTCTCATATACATATACATATATATATAAATATGATAATAGGCTATGCTGTCTCATTCTTGCATTCTCTAACACACAAATATATTATCTATCTCTCATAGTGTCATTTGATCAGAGTAAAAATAATCTAGTGGATGTTTTTATTCGGTGTCAAGGGCAACGAAAATCAATTCCAACCAATCCGAGAAAAAAGACAGGCAGGTTGAAATTTATTTACGCCCATAACAGACTAGGAAATGTTTGATAGTTATTTTATGCCTTATCTCTCTCTCTCTCCCTATTTTTTTGCATTTCTCTGATTTTTTTAAAATCATTTTTCTTTCGTTTTTTTCTCTTTCTTGTTTCCAATTTCTTTTGATATTGTTTTAGGGGTGCAAAATTAAAACTGGTAGATGCAGAATTTCTAATCCTTTGTAACAATCAATATGAATGAGAATAATAAAGCTATGATGAGGTGTTTCGCCTAAAGTTTAGCGCACGCTAAAGTAGATATTCCGGCTGTACAAACAGAATGTTCATAAAACATCTTGGAAACAGTCAAACATAACATCTCATATGATTAAAGCATACTACGTGAGGCAAAATTCAAGTTTTAATTGGTCACCTCTATTTTACCTATATAAGTATACTGAGTCGATAGTGCGGCAGTAACTAATATCGTCGTCTAGTCAATACCTAGGACAAATGTCGTAAACTGAACATATAACAAATTCAATTGAGTTAGTTTGTAAAAGAAAATAAGTGAGATTTAAGAACACACATATCAACAAGTACGTTCTTATACAGACACTTGACTGTCAAATGCCGAAGTGACTACTCCAAACTAAATGGCTTTTTATCAGAAATCAGACGGTGGTCCAAGGAAAACGGTCTAACCTTAAACCCCTCCAAATGCCAAACAGTTAATTTCACCTTTAGGCATAAATCTAACCTAAACAAACTGGTTAGCAACCACGAGGTGTGCAACATAGATGGCACTGAAATAGAAACCAAGTCGGAAATTAAATACCTAGGCCTAATTCTATCTGCTGATCTTTCCTGGTCGTCTCATGTCTTGAGGATTTCTAAGAAAATATTCCGTCCCACCTTCTACATCAAGAAAATAAGACATTCTGGTATAACCCAACCCTTAATCCTATGATTCGTTAACTCTTGCATTCTGCCTATTATGCTCTTTGTTCCCTCCTAGTTTTCCCACGGCTACTGAAGAAAGATTATACCTTGTTACGCAGGATGTTAAAGGTTGTCAGCAGGGTAAGCAACGTGCCACTTAACCAGCTTGTTATCATTCTGGTTGACAGGCACATGGACTCATGTGAAGAATGGGATAAATCAATCCATTCTACCTAACTCACACTACCCTCTTCATTCACAACTCTCCCCTTGTATCTCATCAGACAGCTTCAGAAGCCTATATAGGAAACTAAATGCTCACATTAGCAAGTACAAATACTCAACCATAACCTATTTAGCTCGTGTTCTGTGCGATAAAGAAAGCATTAGGCGTGATACCTATAACTTATTCAATAGTTAGTAGAACAACTGGATCTCGTCTTTCCAGTTCATATCATTTATAGGTACAACTTTTTCATTCTTTCTTTTCCTTTTCTCTCTCTCTTTCTTTTCTCTGTTATGTGCTCCTTTGTTTCTTTCCTCTGCTTACGCCAGTAAATATGTTAGAATCTACTTTCCTAACAACTTCAAACACTCTGTTCAATTTTGGCTTTGCTACCGACTTACCAATATGTTGTTATCATAACGAACCGAGATTTCCTTAGTCTATGTAGAATTTTATTTATTGTTAATGTATTAACTGGATACAATACTGTATGTAGTAAAATGCTGTAATAATGTGTTTCTTGGTCGCTAACTCACTTGAGTACTGCGCTTCAAGAAATAAGTATAAAACTTGGGCATTGTGATAGGGTATAACTCCATTATGGATAAGATTTTATTTTGATAAATCACACAGTGTTATACAGTAATATTAACTGATGACCACGTTTCGAGCACAAATTATTGCCACTCATAATCATATCAAGTCGCTCACACAACTTTTTACTTCATATCACGCACTAATATTAACTGATGACGTTTCGAGGAATTCCCTGGCAATTTTGGTATTTCCTATGTTTAAAATCGCTACATTATCTCAATCAAATTGGTGTCCATAATTATCCACATGCATTGATATGAAAGAACATATATCATTTCTTTTCACAGCTAATTTGTTTTTATGGATTTGGATTCGAAGGGGTGCCCACTTTGACCAACAATGTAGTGTTTTAGGTATTGGTTTGTAGGGATTTGGTTGATTGGTTACAGGATTTTATTATGAACTGACATTGGTTAGAGAACCATTGGAAAACCTGCAGGGAACACCCGACAGCTATTTCCTCCAACCTAGTTTGGGACTCTCCATCAGTACGTATCTACCAACAGGGTTCGAACCCAGGACCTTCTGCTTACAAGGCGAGCTAGCTCGTAGACCATTAAGCCACTGGGACCCGATCCAATGGCCCATGAATTCCAACTTCTGCCAATTCACGATATAGTGCAACCGCGACCAGTGGTGGGTGTGTACTGTGAAGAGTTCCAAACTAGGACGAAACAGTTGTCCAGTACTCCCTGCAGGTTTTCCAATGGTTTTCTAACCAATGTCAACTCATGATAAAATCCTGTAACCAATGTAGTGTTTATTGCAATTCATGCATGTAATTTATTTTGTAAATTGTAGTAATTTTATCTTCTTTTTCTGTTGGATCTTTTGATTTGCATAATATTTAATGAACTGATTGTGCTGGCTGCCTTGCGTGCTATATCTATTTCAAACAGTCTTAATATTCTAGCTGTTAATTCAGAGATATTTTTTATATACGGTGAGATGAATTTTCTCGTACTCTTTGATGTTGGCTTGTTCTTGGTATTATGACTCGAGTTTAAACACTTTTTGATGAAATTGTGAGAATACCCCTTCTTTTTGAAGACGGTTAGTAGGTATTTTTCCTCTGTTCTCGTCGACACATGAGTGCTACAATGTGTTTGAACTCTTTTAAACAATGTCTGCATACAGTTTACTTTGTGGGTAATCAGGTTATTACTATTATAGTTGAGTATTTGTCAGATGTACACCTATGTTTCTAAATTTCCTGTGTTTATTCTCTTGATTATGACATCTAATAATGGAATTTTGTTGACTAACTAATTCAATGAAGTGAATATATATGTAACAAGGTAACTTTAATAAATATTACGTAGCAGCCAAGTTGACAGTAAGGAAAAGAACCACATTGGCCTATGTGTACATACGATAAGTTTTAAACATAAACACCTACGACTGTTTAATCACTTTCACAAATAAAGCTGTTTTTTTAATGTCTCAAGACAAAACTTTATGGCAAATTTCAGTGTAGATCTCGTCAACGATTGACAAGTCAGGGAATCATTTCAATACAGAAAGCACTGAATAGCTGCTTTGTCGAAGTTGGGGAATCCCCAGCAAGACCACTCACCTTTAGCCCTTCTGGGGATTTCATCCAGGACTTCCAGGTTACAAGGTCACCTCGTTGAACACTGAGGCAGTGAATAAGAATTCAATGACCAATGACTTCTAACTTTTGTCAATTATAATAAAGGTCAAACAGCTTGATAAGGTCAGTTAAGAATACTTTTCAGTTACGTTTTTAATTAACTGAAGTTTTTTTGGCATTACTTTAACACTTTCACGGGATGAAAAATCAACGTGCATGAAACTTCCACCCCCCCACCCCCGGTGATTTTATTGGAAGATTATACTGATTCCTTGTGATAAACATTTAAGCTACAATTCAGTGTAGATGAGAATGAATCTGGAAAATCTAATTTCCACAGATGTTTTACACAAGGTGTTGAGAAGGTAAACAGAACTCTAGAGGGTTAAACTGAAATTACTATAGAGGTAATCATTATTCAGTATCCTAGTCAGTGTCTTAGCAGTTAATATTAATATATGCGTAAAACTTGGGCACTGTGGTAGTAATTCCATATTAGTTTGCTTATTAGATGTATCACACAGTGATGAAACAGTATTATTTAATGGATGACATTGTTTCGAATAAAATTTATTACTGTTCATAACCATTTCATCAATTATAATCACACGACTTTGAAACTTGAGTTTTATAGTGTTCTTTGTTCTCTGCTATCTGTCATTGTTGGGTTTGTAGAATTTTCCAGATGTCTTGGTGGAGAGATGTTGAATCATTCCTATTACACGTATTTGTAGTTGATTCGATAAAAAACGCTTCTGTTATCAATCTCTCCCTATACTCTGTAACATTAGATTTTGAAACTGTCATCCTATGCTATCCCATTGTATGGTTGTGTGTAACTGCATGTAGTGAGTAGTATAGCTGAACTATTCTCTAAATTTCTTATCTTATTCGAGTCAGCCAATCTAGATTCTGCTAATTTTTTATGCTCGGCTAGTCTGATTGCCTCTTCTGTTTTACTAGTTTGACCAATGTATTTGGCCTGACAACCATTCCAGCAGGGTGTTAAACATACTGAATTTTTGGTTTTATAGGCTCCACAAGATTGATCGTCTAACTGACAAAGCTTATTTCTAATTGAGTTTGTGGGTGGTTTGAATTCCAGCCACTTTTATTCCCGCCTTGTTAAGAATTCTGTGTAGGGTTTCCGAGGTTTCTTCCTTGTGTGGAATTACCACTGATGATTTAGATTGCTTACTGTTGGTGTTGTCATTATCTCCCGCATGTTTGACAGGCATGTCGTCATTAATATTATTACTATTATTATTATCACTATCACTACTATCGTTATTTATTTTATTTTTACATTTCCTGACTAATTCATCAGGGTAATTATTAAGTTTCAAGGCTCCCTTTATGTGTATGACTTCCTATCTTAGATTTTCTTTGGTACTACTTAGTTTTTGTTCTCTGTAACTTAAACATTTCACCAATCCTTTTTTTACTGACGTAGGAAATACAAATACATAGCAAATACATGTAATAGGAGTGATTCAACATCTGGCCCAGATATCTGGAAAATTTTATTGCCCCTAGGGCGAATAGGGGAAGACAAAGAAAACTATAA